GACACGTTTTCCCCCAGAATTCACTTGGACTCAGGAAACTGAATTCGTCTTTCACCGAGTTGTGATAAGTTACATAAACTCTTCCTGGATGTCTGTAAAGACGTCGTCTGTTCAGCATTAGAGGGGATCACTCATCAGAGCCATGGTAATTTGATTGGAATGTATGACTGGGGTTGATGGCAAGGGTTGACGCACGACACACGGGTTCATTAACTCCCGATGTCTTGAAAGTCGCTAATATTCTTTTTCCAGCCCTTTTCATGATATAACAGTTAAGTAAACTACAACGCATTTCAGTGCCAGTAATATAATGCCAGTGTCTATCGTAAAGCTTCATTAATAGGCAAATAAAAAAATATGCTAATTTCACGAACCTGTGCTCCATATAATGACATTTAAATACTTTACAGGCATTTATAAACAAAAATTATGACTTGAAAAATATCAACACACAGGTCATTTTTCTCAGCAGTTCGTGTCTAATGTGTGGAATGTTGGAATTCGTGAATGATTTATATAACTGTATTTTTATTGGGACCATTCAGGCAAACTGTCTTTTCGTATTTATTATCCTGGTTGAATTCCCACACTGTTTACTTAGCACGTCACATACACACTTTATCTCGTGTATTGTTTCTGTGTATTTTTGACTGTCATTCTCTGTCTCCCTTGGATTTTTTTTTTTTTTTTTTTTTTGGTGTCTGACTGCCTTTCACAGGGGCTTGATAAAGCTCCTGGAGAGCGAAACGTTGCCACAATAAAATGTCACATTAGTTACACTTGTGTCCTTTTATCTAACATATTGTAGGCAATTCTACCAACATTATTGCAACAATTTAAATTCTTCCCTCCAGTCTAACACGCTCACACACTGCTTGCTAAAACACATCCCTGTATAATTTCTTCAAACCGCGTTACCGTCTATTCGTTTATCAATCACGGTGAAGTCCTGCATTATCAAGCACAGTTTTTTGTATTGTGTTACATTCCATTTCTATCTTGTACACCCCGACCTGACTCTGCTCTTAACAGATGTCAAGAACCTTACACCTGTTCTATGCAGCTAGAACGCTAGTAACCTCGTTCCTCGATCCTCCATGTTATAAATCACTTCCACGCTTCAGTGCAAACTCTTGAAAGGCTCATCACCTTCCTAAATCTTCTGTCTTCTGCAGGCAAACTTTCTTGTCTTTCCAGTTGCTCTATTTTCTGTCATACTCAGTCGATTTTATATCATTTATACATACTGTTGCTCCTTTGTCTTTAGTGAAATGGACAATACATCTAATCACTTGCCTAATCACGGAACGGGTGAGGCTTGAACCCATGGCAAGTGAGCCCTGAAACTAACAGGCATTTGTGGTCACAGTGGTGGCCCATGATAACCTCTCTATGGTGTATCTAAATATACCTAGTTCAATAAATTTTATTAGAGCTAGATGGCCCAGTGGTTAACGCACTGAATTATGAGTTTTAGCACTCGTTCGCCATGGGTTCCAACCCCACCCGTTTCCTGATTTGTTTGCAGTTGTTTTATTCCGTTTTCGTGAGTTAGTCATGCGTAATAAAAAACTTGAGGGAAGTACTAAATGCCTCAGACTATTGAAGTGAATAGCAAAGTGAAGAATATTTTCCTGTATGTCCTCCGTAACAAGAAATAATCTAATAATAATAAATTATAACCTTTACAGTAGTTATATTCGGTTTAAACCTTTGATTAATGTTCCAAATGAGAGATGTTTTAATTTTATCCTCTGTCATTGCTCGATATTCTATCGTATTTGTTTTTTTTTCAGAATCTATGTTGCTAAGTACTCTGCTGACGAATGCAGAGTCTTGAGTACTCTGCCAAAGAATCTGGGACACTGAGCACTCTTCCGATAAATTCCAGATCCCTAAGTACTCTTCCGATGAATTCCACACTCCTGAGTACTCTGATGAAGAATCTGAAGTAGTCGAGTACTCTACCGAAGGGGTAAATCAACATATCCTTGGATGCTTCTTGGATTAAAGGTAAAGTCTCTCTCGCAGCTTTTATCACTCAGAATCGTAATCTTGGTAATGTATTAATCAAGGCTGACTGAAGCCGCAAGAAAGTAGAGATAAGAAATATTAAGACGCATTGCTCTCATTAGCGTACACATTTTTCTTCGCCTGTGTGTTGCCTTAGTCTGTCTTGGCGATATGTCTTCTCTTTCTTTGTTATTATAAGCTTGTTGTGGTGCTGACTGGGAAGAAAATGTAGCTTGTGTTCACGTTATTTTATATTAAGGGGTAATTTTGTATGTATTGGAAAGTATGCTTAGATTTGGATATATATGGTTTTAAAATTTGTTAGAATGTAACACTCTAGGGGGGTAGCTTTTCTTCTGTATCTATAAATGATTACTTACACACACACACACACATACACACACACGTATAACTCGACCCCAGCAGCCACAAATAGGTGAGTACACACACACACACACACACACACACACACACGAGTCCTTGGTTCACCCAAAGGTGTAGGGAGGCAAAAACTAGGTGTACTAGAGAATGGAAAAGGTACAGAAGACAGAGAACTCAGGAAAATAAAGAAATCAGCCGAAGAGCCAGAAACGAATATGCACAGATAAGAAGGGAGGCTCAGAGACAATATGAAAATGACATAGCATCAAAAGTAAAGACTGACCCGAAGCTGTTGTACAGCCACATCAGGAGGAAAACAACAGTCAAGGACCAGGTAATCAGACTGAGGAAGGGTGATGGGGAATTCACAAGAAACGACCGAGAGGTATGTCAGGAGCTCAACACAAGATTTAAAGAGGTATTTGCAGTGGAAACCAGTAGGACTCCAAGAAATCAGAACAGGGGGGCACACCAGCAAGTGCTGGATGAGGTACATATAACCAAGGAGGAGGTGAAGAAGCTGCTATGCGAACTTGACACCTCAAAGGCGGTGGGACCAGACAACATCTCTCCATGGGTCCTTAAAGAGGGAGCAGAGATATTGTGTGAGCCATTAACAAAGATCTTCAACACATCATTTGAAACTGGGCAACTCCCTGAGGTATGGAAAATGGCAAATGTAGTCCCAATTTTTAAAAAGGGAGACAGACATGAGGCACTAAACTACAGACCTGTATCACTAACGTGTATAGTATGCAAGGTCATGGAGAAGATCATCAGGAGGAGAGTGGTGGGGCACCTGGAAAGAAACAAGTGTATAATTGACAACCAGCACGGTTTCAGGGAAGGAAAATCCTGTGTCACAAACCTACTAGAGTTTTATGACAAGGTGACAGAAGTAAGACAAGAGAGAGAGAGGGTGGATCGACTGCGTATTTTTGGACTGCAAGAAGGCTTTCGACACAGTTCCTCACAAGAGGTTACTGCAAAAGCTAGAGGACCAGGCACACATAACAGGAAAGGCACTGCAATGGATCAGAGAATATCTGACAGGGAGGCAACAACGAGTCATGGTACGCGACGAGGTGTCAGAGTGGGCGCCTGTGACAAGCGGGGTTCCACAGGGGTCAGTCCTAGGACCTGTGCTGTTCTTGGTATACGTGAACGACATAACGGAAGGGATAGACTCAGAAGTGTCCTTGTTTGCAGACGATGTGAAGTTAATGAGAAGAATCGAATCGGACGAGGATCAGGCAGGACTACAAAGAGATCTGGACAGGCTACAAGCCTGGTCCAGCAACTGGCTCCTTGAATTTAACCCTGCCAAATGCAAAGTCATGAAGATTGGGGAAGGGCAAAGAAGACCGCAGACACAATATAGTTTAGATGGCCAAAGACTGCAAACCTCACTCAAGGAAAAAGATCTGGGGGTGAGTATAACACCGAGCATATCTCCTGAGGCGCACATCAATCAGATAACTGCTGCAGCATACGGGCGCCTGGCAAACCTACGGATAGCGTTCCGATACCTCAGTAAGGATTCGTTTAAGACTCTGTACACCATCTACGTCAGGCCCATACTGGAGTATGCAGCACCAGTTTGGAATCCACACCTAGTCAAGCACGTCAAGAAATTAGAGAAAGTGCAAAGGTTTGCAACAAGACTAGTCCAGAGCTACGGGGATTGTCCTATGAAGAAAGGTTGAGGGAAATCGGCCTGACGACACTGGAGGCCAGGAGGGTCAGGGAGACATGATAACGACATATAAAATACTGCGCGGAATAGACGAGGTGGACAAAGACGGGATGTTCAGAGATGGGATACAGACACAAGAGGTCACAATTGGAAGTTGAAGACTCAGATGAATCAAAGGGATGTTAGGAAGTATTTCTTCAGTCATAGAGTAGTCAGGCCATGGAATAGCCTAGAAAGTGATGTGGTGGAGGCAGGAACCATACATAGTTTTAAGGCGAGGTATGATAGAGCTCATGGGGCAGGGAGAGAGAGGACCTAGTAGCAATCAGCGAAGAGGCGGGGCCAGGAGCTGTGACTCGACCCCTGCAACCACAAATAGGTGAGTAAATAGGTGAGCACATACACACACACACACACACACACACACACTAAAATCAACGACATGTTGAGAGAGTTACTGAACTTCAGTCCTATCAAATAGTGCTATGAAAATAGGTACAGAAAAAAAACCCGCATAAGGAATAAAAAACAGGAAATAGCTTGCAAGTTTAGGGGAAAGGAAAGTTGTTAGCTGCTAATGATATCACAAAATGCTGAACGACCATAGAAAAGTGAAATTCCAAACGCTTTCGTGATTTTTCACATTATTAGGGAACTATGATAGAGAAACCACGAAAGCGCTTGGAATTTTACTTTTTTTCCACAGTGATCGTTCAGCCTATTGTGGTATTACCCATTTATATGTTTATGCATTATTACTCTCATTGAATTCACAATGAGTGAAATACTCGCTAGAAAATAAACGCAAATAAAAACATTATTATGTAACTATAAACTAACGATAAATAACTAAAACATAAAAGAAGCCTGTCTAGTCTGGCGGAAAAACCAGGAACTATTTAGTGCATCACCGTGTGTTGGTGTTGTTAGGTGCGTTGTACCTAGTGCTGTAGTGAATTACCTCGGGAATGGTGAACGGTCTAAGTGAATGATCTTCTTAAGATATATAATGATATGGTGAGTTTTTGTTGTGATAATAAGGGTATAAAATATGGCTAGTAACTCGTGTTAAGGGATATATTTGGTTCTGAAGGTTAACTCTTCCCTCTCGTGCTCTCTTCTCCCCCCCCCCCCACCCACCCGGTCCACCGCCATCTTAACAACCGTGAATTGAGGCAGTTACGGTATTAGGGTATAATAGCTTCAAAGATGGTAAAAGGTATGTTTAATGTTTACTTTCACTACCAGCCTTACCACTACCACTATTTCTTACTTGGTACCGTCGCTGTCCCCCGCGTCTGTATACACTGGGTCTGGTAGATCAGTGCGACACTGATTTACCATTGATTCAATCAGTGATTTTTTTTTTTTTGGCAAGAAACTGACTTACGGTGTTTACTCTGACTTTAATTTTGCACCCTGTCTACCAGCACCACTAACCTCCCCTTAGCTTCAACTCCACTAACCTCCCCCTTCCATCATCTCCACTAACCTCCCCCTACCTTAATCACTACTAAATTTCCCTACCTTCATCTCCACTAACCTCCCCTTCCTTCATCTCCACTAACCTCGCCCTTCCTTCATTCCACTAACCTCCCCCTTCCTTCATCTCCACTAACCTCCCCCTTCTTTCATCTCCACTAACCTCCCCCTTCCTTCATCTCCACTAACCTCCCCCTTCCTTCATCTCCACTAACCTCCCCCTTCCATCATCTCCACTAACCTCTCCCTACCTTCAACTCCACTAACATCCCCCTTCCATTATCTCCACTAACCTCCCCTAACTTCAACTCCACTAACCGCCCCCTTCCATCACCTCCACTAACCTCTCCCTACCTTCAACTCCGCACACCCCTCCCCTCACACACCTCTCCCCCTCACACACCTCTCCCCCTCACACACCCTCCCCCTCACACACCCCTCCCCCTCACACACCCCTCCCCCTCACACACCCCTCCCCTTACACACCCCTCCCCTCACACACCCCTCCCCTCACACACCCCTCCCCTCACACACCCCTCCCCTCACACACTCTCCCCCTCACACACCCTCCCCTCACACACCCCTCCCCTCACACACCCCTCCCCTCACACCTCTCCCCTCACACACCCCTCCCCTCACACACCCCTCCCATCACACACCCCTCCCCTCACACACCCCTCCCCTCACACACCCTCCCTTCACACACCCCTCCCTTCACACACCCCTCCCTTCACACACCCCTCCCCTCACACACCCCTCCCCTCACACCTCTCCCCCTCACACACCCCTCCCCTCACACACCTCTCCCCTCACACACCCCTCCCCTCACACACCTCTTCCCTCACACACCTCTCCCCTCACACACCCCTCCCTCACACACCCCTCCCTTCACACACCCCTCCCTTCACACACCCCTCACACACCCCTCCCCTCACACACCCCTCCCTTCACACACCCTCCCCTCACACACCCCTCCCCTCACACACCCCTCCCTTCACACACCCTCCCTTCACACACCCCTCCCCTCACACACCCCTCCCCTCACACACCCCTCCCTTCACACACCCTCCCCTCACACACCCCTCCCTTCACACACCCCTCCCTTCACACACCCTCCCTTCACACACCCCTCCCTTCACACACCCCTCCCCTCACACACCCCTCCCCTCACACACCCCTCCCTTCACACACCCCTCCCCTCACACACCGCTCCCCTCAGACACCCCTCCCCTCACACACCCCTCCCTTCACACACCCCTCCCCTCACACACCCCTCATTACAATTGTACAATCTATGTGGGTTTAGTGCAAGTTATATTTTTATACCTAATACTTTTACACGTAAATTAATCAATTTTCTTAACTTCACCGAAGTTCCTCGTCGTAGCAACGCGTATTAAGAATGGAAAGTAGGTACGATACCTAACGCACTGGGAAATATGATACCTACGTAACGGCTGTCATCAGATCAGGCTGAGATATGCAGCCTGTCAGAGACGTAGGTTCTTACGCCAGGGGTAACGAGCTCATTAAAAATAAGTATTTAAATTCATTAGACAGTGTTTTTATGAATTGATTTTACTATATGTGCATATGTTAATTTATTTTTATCAGAACACACTGACAATTGTGCAATGTTGCAGCTTGCAAGAGTCCAAAAATAAGCGCTTTCCCTGCTACCCATCCAGACAGCGTTTGCAACTCGTCGCCCGCTGCGTTTTTTTTATCGTGTTTTAATAACACATGCTCGAAATTTAGCCCACGTAATCCAACTTTTTTGTTAGTTTCGTTATTAATGGGAAATTATTCGGAACTTAATATACGTTAACCTAACCCTAAAATTGCGAACATAAACAAACAAGATGGCTGTCCTAATGGTTGAAAAAGGTGAGATATGACCAGGAATCAGCCAGAGTTGAAAAAAAAGAGAACTTCATTTACCATGGAGGTAAATTAATTTTTTGGGGTGATACATATGTGCAACTCTTGGGCATCTTTATCGCCGAAAGGTTTCGCCTGCACAACAGGCTTTTTCAGTCGAATACAGTCGAAGATAACAATGCTATGGTAATGCCGACAGGTGTGGAAAAAGACATGTACTGTTCTTGACTGAGGAAGACACTCGTGGTGAAACGTCTCCTCTAATAAATGTTATTTTCCCACATCTTGTCGGTTTTTTTCCACAGGTCGATTATTACCATCAACTTGTTAATGATGGTCATCAGTACCGACATGACACGTCAGATTTTCTCTCGATTCCTGATCATGTTTGTACAAATAGTGCAGTTTGCTGAAATACTTACTAACGTATAATTTACTTTTGCAGGTGATGTGCTGAAGGATCCCTGGTGATATTGTGATGAGTTTCTCCTCCAACAACACGAGTTATGTTGATAAACAGCGTCTAGTTTTCTCCCACAAGGATAAGGTGAGTAAAACTCAACACAGTTTTTATTTGTAACATCTTAAATTTTGAATAAATAGTTTAGGAAACTGACAAGTTGATAAATGGCTCTTGAGCAACATTTGGGAATCTTTGAGGAAACGTTTCGCCAGCCAGTGGTTTTATCAGTCCAATAAAGAGAAAAATGGGTATAAATGGCTTCTCATTCTTCAACTCGTTGTTTTTTTTAAACTATTTATCTCATAAAATTACTTAATGTTATTGTACTCTAAATTGTTTATAAGCCATTGTTATTTTGAAACGTAAACAAATGGATTTTCATACCTCTGCAGGCAAGTGTGTTTATAGCTTCTCGAGGGACAGTTACACCTGGAAACAAAGGTACGTTCCTATTTCACTTTCGTTTACCTTCAGACAAGGAAGAACTTTCACGGGGTTGGGCAGGACCTGGGTGGTTGGTCCTCCTTCAATAAGAATCGTCACTGAGACGATTCTTTTTCGACTAAGGGTCGGGGCTACTCACCTTACTATTAGCTATCTGCTTGCAAGTACTCCTGCTCATCTCTCAGGAACCTGTGAATGATTTTACTTAACTATTTTTATTAGGATCATTCCAGTAGGCTACCTTCTCGTGTTTATTATCCTACTCTTCTCTCAGGAACGTGTGACCGGCAGTTGACTGTTCAGCACAGTTTTACAGTTTGCGCATAGCTTCGCCCTTTACGCTTCAGTGCCATTTTATATATATATATATATATATATATATATATATATATATATATATATATATATATATATATATATATATATATATATATATATTATATATATATAATTAGAAGGGTACGTACAGGAATATCAAAGAACTTTTATGGGAATCTCTGCTGTTGCCAATTTAATAGTTTAAATCATGCGATTTTTTTAATTTGATGCAAGAGTTGAGTCGCGTTCATACTAGTAGTTATTATTTATTCACAACTTAGGTGATCTGATGTGTATCGTATTTGTTTTAATGTTAAGATTACCTGTTTTAATGTTAAGATCACCGAGTTAATAGAAAGCTCAGAAGCCTCATCAAATTTCATGGCTTTTTTTAAGTTCTTTAATTTACAAACAGGTATATGTATTCAAGTATATTTGTACGTCACTGACCCATTGGAGTGTTAGTGTGGTAATTGGCGAGTTTCGTGATGAAGTCTTCTAATTGCTATTGAGTTGGTATTAATCAGGCGCTGCTATTGTGTTGATTTGTTGCAGCTGCTGCTGTTACGTTGTGTGGCTCTGCTCCTTTCGTTACTGAGTTGGTGTTGTGCAGATGCTGCTGAGCTGGTGTAATCTAAGGGGCCTTCACCGGAGCTCTGTCAAAATCTCGAATCGCTTCAAGAAACTTCAAGATCTTCAACGTGTCAGTGAAAAACGGGAAAGTAGCAAAGTATGGAAAGACTGCGTAAAACCCGTATGGGTCATTTAATGCTCGCATTAAACTGGTGGCTTTTCATTTCCTTCTCCCCCCCCCCCTTCCTTTACTCTCTCTCTTTCCCTCCCTTTCATTTCCCCCACCTCTCTTCATCCCTCCTTGGTTCTTTCCTCACTCCCCTGTTCCCCATCCTCTCTTCCCCATTCTCCTTCTCTTCCCTTCCCCCCTCCCCTTCCAATTCATCCCCTTCCCTTCTCTCCGTTCACAGTGGAAAGTCAAGTAGGCAGGATAATGACCAGTGTGCTTGTTTACTTTACTAGCTTAATATGCCTTCATTTGTTTTTTCTTAATGACTTCAGATGTGGCCTCTAATTCGCCTAACAGGAAAACATATACGTTGACTTAGTGTTACTTTACGCCAATTAATTTTAATGAGGTTTACTGCTGGTTTTACTTCAGCGAGGCATCTGTTAGCCCATGTATACAATGTACACAATGATAGCCCATGTACACGAGAATAACTCTCTCTTCTAATTACTGAAGTCTAGGGTGTAGTATGCTAAGACTATGTTGCATTTTATTCGACGTATGTTACACACCCATATAGGCTGCCTCCCGACCAGTGAACCAGGTGCTAAGCGTTTAATGAGTATGGACCCCGTCGTTATACCAGTCCCTTAGTTCGACCATCTACTCACAGGGAAGCCTGCCAATGTTGTGAAGCAATGCAGCACACTCGTGAATCATACTTGGCACACTTGCCAAGTATGACTCACGAGTTCTCATTTGTGCTTGCATTTGCCTCATTGTACATACCTGAATAACACACACACACACACACACACACACACACACACACACACAATATATATATATATATATATATATATATATATATATATATTATATATATATATATATATATATATATATATATATATATATATATATATAAAAGCTTATTTTTTGGTGAAAGAAATGCAGACTATTACTCTGCTGCCTTTTGCTCGTTCCTAAGTGGTTATTGTGCTACAGCCAGGTGTGCAGGCCTAGCTTACACCTCTTCGTAATATGGGGACATACTATCTAAAGATTAGTGTTTCTTGTCGCATTTCGCGGACGTAGGATCAAGCCTCCACCACTCCAGGAGCTGAATAACCCACACGACTTTCAAGATGTTATTAAGAAATGATAACCGTAGCAACGCAATAATTAAGCTCCTTTACAAAGGTGCCACAGCTGAGATACAGCAACAACAACGTTCCTTTACATTTGTCCTAGAGTTAGAATACAACAGCAATACTGCTTTTACAAAGGTTCAAGTGTTGGAGATTAAGATCTATTTTCTTTCCTGAAGGTCCTAGTGTTTGAGCACAGTAAGCATATTCTTTTACAAAGGTCCACCAAATGTTAAAGTGCAAGAACCATATTGTCTTACACAAAAGTCCAAGAGCTAGAGCAAACGTCCCACAGGTGAACTCTTAGGAATTATAGGACCCTTAAGAAATGGAGAGTTTTGATCCCCTGAATTAGTTTTCTCATTAATATCACACGTGATTACCCAGCCTTCCCTCGGGGGCTGCATAACCCCCTACGCGTTTAGCTCTTTCCCCGTGCAAATTACAATGAATATTGAGTTCATATTCTCTTACTGGTCAGGAATATCGTATTGAATTCTTTCCAGTATACGTAATTCCTAATCTTAATAAGGCAATACATAAAGACGTATTAGTGTACCTACCAAATTACGATTACAAGGGTCGAGTCATGGCTCTCGTTCCTTGCCCTTGAGCTGTGCGTTATTTTATAAATGCAATTAACAATTATCCCTATTTTTGGGCCACTGTTAACAATATCGGTAACATGATTTAGTTTTAGAGGGATTGAATGCTAATTGGTTAATGGAGCCTACTGACTACACTAGGGTCGTTAAGGTTGAGTGTCATTAATACTTTAACCCTTAAAATTAAGGTGAAAGTAAACTCTTGAGTAAATATACGAGGAGGGATACACTCTACACTCTATATGCCCTGGCTCACAACTCTCAGTATATATGCCCTGGCTTGCAACTCAGTATATATGCCCTGGCTTACAACTCAGTATATATGCCCTGGCTTACAACTCAGTATATATACCCTGGCTTACAACTCAGTATATATGCCCTGGCATACAATTCTCAGAGCATACATCTTTACTCGAGAGATAAACCTCTCTGTGTAGTTTTTCTTTCTGAAGACATACACACTTATCGGTCTGTTTACCCTTGCTAAAGACATACACACCTTTCGGTTTATATACCCTTGCAAGAGAGATACATATGCCTTTTGGTTTATTTACCCTTGCACGAGAGATATTCACCTTTCAATGTATCAAATAATATTTGAATAAATTACTGATTATGAATAAATTAGTGCAGGATGCATGGTTAAGTTGTTATGGAGTAAAAGGAAATCTTTCCACTTTCCTGAAATGAAAGATGAGTACACGAGTGAGTGAATACGTTGTTCTCTTTGTGTATTCATGGGTGAGTCAATACATTTAGAACAGCACTTTAGCAGTGGGAGCGCTAAACCAGCAAGGGACGCGCACACAGGCTGGGGTATTGTATTATGTTTATTAAAAGGAGTGAATGCCTGCCATTTCTTTTATCCAGGGGCTTTTCGCAGTAACTCTTGGATAAGATATGTCTCATCTAACCACACCTCGTGGGCAAGTATATTTTTATCTTGTGTGAAGCAGTAAACCCGTGCCTGAGTGGTGTAGGCTCGATCGACCACCTGAATAGCTGGAGACAAATACTCTTTCAGACTCTTCCCTTATTATATTCTGTTTCTCATTTCTACCTTTCTCTCCCCTCTCTGTCTCCCTTATCTCCACCATTCAACTCATCTGGTAGGGTAACAGGGTTTTCTTATATTGAGACTGCCAGATACCTGTGGATACCTGATATGTTGGTAGTTAATGAACTCCCTGCGGGCTTGTGTAGTGATGCCTGTGTTTGTTTGGGATAAACGATACCACGAGCAGGGTTAGAACCCGCGGTCAGAGAGTCATAAAACTCCAGACCGACCGGGAGGATTCTATCCCCGCCCGTGGTATGGTTTGTTTGCAGTCATTACGATTTCGTGCGTTTTGCGTGGGATGGTGTGGGCTAGGTTAGGTTAGGTCCCATCCGTCCCTGTCCAGCTCGCCTATATATACACTGGCTCCCTCTCTTGTGTGTTAGTGGGTCTTTGTAGATGGTCCAAGTCTGACCGAAACGTAGTCGTTAGCTTCTCTCTATGTGCGGGTTATTTGTGTATTGTTCCAGTCACGGTATTGTGCCTTTTTGTTCATTAGATTAGGATTGGTTTTGATGGACCTTGTTGAATTGGTTCTCTTAATGACGATGCCAGGAGACTCAGATACACCCTACGCTCGTGGTCTTCAGTACAGTGGGTGCGTAAAGAAAATACCCATGCGTAATTAACATAACGCAGAGCAACACACAATAACACATAACACAGCATAACATAATTACACCACATAACACACAGCAACACCACATAACACAATTGCACCACATAACGCACAATAAGACCACATAACACGCAACACAACACCACATAACACGAAGCACCACATAACATGGAACACCGCATAACATGCAACATCACATAACACGGAACACTATATAACACGCAACATCACATATGCAACACCACATAACACGCACTATACATAAAGCAACACATTGTACCCAAAAGCATCACATAACACAGTAATACTACACACAATAAAACCACTTAGCACAATAGCATCACGTAACACAAACTCTACATAGCACGCAATTACACTACATGACATACCACCTAGCACAATAGCACCACTCAACACACAACACTGCAAAACACAATAAAATCTCATACAACAGTTAGCAAACAATAAAATCTGCAGGAAAGCACATGAGCACCAGTCAACAACA